CAACGGCAAACCAGGCTTCAGGAATTCCCACTGTACAACTTGATGGGCTTCTGGTTTAGACGCTGGTAACAGTGGTCTACAATTTTTTAGACGTCATCTGCTTCAGAGATGAAATGTGCTGTTTGTTATGGATTTTGATGTGCGGAATTCAAATATGATCATTAAAACAACTGATTGGCTACTGTTCAAGATTTTTAAGTTTTTACATCTTACGTCTTCCTCCTGTGATTGATGTATTTGTCATTTCTGGTTTAAATTAAGGTCCCTTCCCTTTATAACTCACTTATCCTCCGCCATTCCCAAGTCAAGGGTTGTATATACTGAACCATTAGCATATCTTGAAAACGAGAGCCAATAAACAATTTTAAGCATCAGTTCCATTCTCAGTGACCCAGAATTAGTAAATTTGGACTACATTTATTTCGTAAGCATTTTGCTAAAATAGTCTGGAGCCAATTTTGCATGTAACCTTGCACTTTATTCTGATAAATATTCAAACCATCGTTGTGGCTTAAGTCTGGCTGACTTCTGTAAATATGGAAAGGCATGTATTGGGCTAAGTCTGTTGGAAAATAAATTACTAAAACGTCGCCTTCACCTTACTGGTTTATTAACTCTACAACTAAACGCCTGCAATCTAATAACTGGCTCACTCAATGTTCCTAGGCTATTTCCCTATAGGAAATACTTCATTTTGAAAAGTTATTCATGCCACAATGCTTCTCAGACAAGGTGAGTGAAAGTGAGCATATAGATTGACTGACATAGGTGGAGATTGCTTGCTTATGCCAATGCAGAAACTTAATTTAGAATTACAGTGAGAAGCTGAATAACACCACTCATGGTAACAGGTATTTCAATGTTGCTTGAAAGCAGTATGGGTGGATGTGGCACATACATTTCAAGTGTATGTGATTAGCACCTGTATATAATGTATGTTAGCATATGACGTGATAACATGGATGCCTCGGGTTTACTGCCTGATGTGAAGGGTAAATATATTTTATAGATTCACAGTTAATTAGCCCAGTCCCAGATGCGGTTGGGATGCTTTGCATCGAGCTGGTGATAGACCACTCAGAAACCTGGCTATTAGGGATATCAGCTTTTATTTCTACACGAGCTGACACCAACCACCCCAAGCAGAGGAGCTATAGCCTGGTAGCAGGCTACCACAAAGAAAATCAAACGAATACGAATAAGCAGAAAGCCACCCACACACATCACACCTAATGTTCCTAACGCCTTTCTGAGACTCGCACATAAGCTTCGGGGGGTGGAGTCATACACTTCCCCTACTCTCCCACACGCAACTTTGCTTTACAGATGGCCCCATTTTCCTCCTCAGGGGTTTCCACCCCTCGCCTGCTAACCCCTCGAAGTGGGCAGCTCGTGCCTCGAGCTTATCCCTTCTTCGAGCAGTGGGAGATGCAACACAGAGTCGGTTAACACACAGTTAACGCATAGCCTGGTTGATTACATTCTCCCAAAGATTGTTAAATTAGAAGTTAAGTGCGAGTTGTGAGGAAATTCTCCCCATAGAGGTGGTTCAAACTAGATTCGAAGCTTTTTTTGACTGCAGGAATTACAATTAGGTTATTTCGGTATAGGCACACTTAACTTATAATTTATCAATCTTTGGGAGAATGTAATCAAGCAGGCTATGCGTTAACTATGTTAACCGACTCTCTGTTGCATTGCATTACACTTCCTAATTTTACTACATTTGTTTTCTCAAATTTCCTATTTCTCTCTAAATTTTGCCGTGCTTGTTTGTTTATAAGTCCAGTGTCTCTCCTCCAGCCGCTATGGGCAGGAATTCCATACAACTCTCTTATTGTTCTCTACCCCAATCACCCCCCCCCCCCCCTCTTTATTTAAGACCTCGACACAGAGGCATTGTCTTTCTGTTTGTCTATGTGTGCGTCTCTCTCTCTCTGTGTGTGTCTCTCTCTGCTTGTATGTCTGTCTATGTTGTCTCCAATATCTGTGTTTTCTCTCTCTCTGAAATTTAGCAATCTTTGGAAGAACATAATCAACCAGGTAGTGTGTTGACTGTTGTGTTAGCCGACTCTGTGTTGAATTGCATTATATTTCGAAGTTTACTATGTTTGTTTTCTCATTCATTCTTACCTGATGATGGTTGCTTGTGTTGCAATCGAAACGTCGTATTCCATTATTATTTAATTATTTTCTTTCTACGCGACTTTACCGAAAGAACCAAAGAGTAATAATAATACTCATGTCACCTAACGTTTCCCTATAAAACATATATTCCGTGGAGTGGGAGACAGCCCTCAACTGCTACTTACAGTGAAGATTCCCTAGCCCTCACTCGCCTCACTGCTTGAGGGTGGAAGCTCGCCCAGCCACTACTGGGGGTGGTGGTGGATAAATGCTGCCGCCGCCGCTACTGCTGCTTCTGTGTTGCGATCCGCCCAACCGCCCACTGCTGATTTGGGTGCTCCTTTTATAGTGCTGCTCTCAGCCCATTGTTTAGCCCCTGAGCCAATCACGTGAGAGGTCCGACTATAAATGGTCTGAGATTCCTTCCCCCTGATTGGCCTGTTCCACTCAAAACCTGTCTCCACGCCGGTCTGACCATGGTGTGGTGGCTCCTGGCTCTACACAAAGGACCGTGCCCAAAAACACGAGTTTCTCTCTCCAGCTTAATCGGTATGCCTCACGTGCTATGCCACATGGCTGAATTCGCTTTTCTGGTTCCATGTGCTTCCTCATGAGTCTAGGAATTGGTTTTCATGAGTAGCCATGTTTACAAATGACCAATTCATATTTCTTGATAATGATTCGATCCTCATATTGAGCCCTGCTATGTTTCTGATGCAGATCCAACCCCACGCCTAATTCCATTCAACATAAGATCTCACAAGTTCTTAGGCATCTGCCTCCTCTTACTGATTATAAATTGCATTTATTGATGTACTGTGTTGCCATTTTGAATACTTAGTATGAAAGTAGCATCAACATGTTGGTTGTGAGTATTTTAGAAAAAATAAAAAGTTTATATATGTTGAAGAACCCTCACATGGTTTTTAATTATTATTTTTCATGTGCTAATGTTCAAATGTCCTGCCTAATGTTCAAATGAACATTAGGCAGGACATTACATCAGTAATAGCAGTGCTGCATATGTATTTCATTGAATATCATTTACACATAAAGTAGGTATAAAGTATCACAACACAAACATTAATCTTGGACTGAGGCAGCTTCGAGCCAACATTAAATATAAAGATAATTATAGAGGACCAAGCATTGAGGAACACCCATAGAAATTGAGGCGATATCTGGTGAGTGAAATTCTCTGCATTATTTTTTTATAAACAATCATGCATTAGTCAGTCTTAGCATTTGCTTCACACACGTTTTCTTCACTCGCCCACTACACCCTCTCTCTACACCCCCTCCTCTTCTCCCCCAGGCAGTAACACAAAGTTGGCATGCAGTTCTTTGCATAATGCCCCCTAATCTGCATAATATGTGGAACAGCAGCCAGAATGCTTGCTCGTTAACCGAAGCAATCTCTACAGCAAGAAATGCTTATGGAAGATTTTGGGATCGCGGTGATATATTACTAATGGGGAGGGCCAAAGTGAGCATTCTGTGCATTGCAAACATTTTCTTAATTGAAGGACTTGCCATTTCAGGAGTGAATAACACGAACAATGATGTGATATTGTACATGGAAAAGGGAGTACATGGGAAAGGGATTCCATTTCCCGCACCTTCGATTAGCGCGGTTGGTTATGTATGGTGTAAGAAGATCGACATACATGGTATTGCGATCAATATATACGTAGATAAAGTTTCATGGTAGCGATCGTCATTCTAGAGTTTACTGAAACACATGCAGCACGGTATTTTGCCACATTGCTTCTGGCTCAATTACAATGAAGGTTTTTCTCACGGAAAAAAACACGTTGTAATTTCCAGTCATTATCCATACAAATTTTATTGTGATAACTGCACACACCCCGTACCTGTGTGCATGGTAATTTTGCACACAAATTGAGCAAGCGGTGCATCCCCTCTGCAGGATGTCATGCTCATTTTCTAGCATTCCTTGACCTTGACGGACTGAGGAGTATTTTTCCATCCCGCCGCCATTGTCGGCTGTTCTCCGTCGACTGCTGTGTGGAGGCCACCAATGAGTGTGGCAGTCATTTCCATTAACATCTCAGGGTAGGATGCAAATGTGCTGCTTTCACCCAGTGACAAAGTGGGGGTGATTGCTTTTGTCCTGCGGAAGCCATGTGTGTTTTTGTCGCCAACGATGTCTGCAAATATGTATTCGTGAACATATATCGTGGGGGTAACCGACAAATTAGCTCGAGTTTTGCAAAATCAAAACATCAAAGTAAGATTTGGCATGGTACACAAAATTCCAAGACTCGTATCTTGTACTAAAGATGAATTGCCTAAGTTATCAACAAAAGGTGTGTATCAGATCAATTGCTTATGTGACAGATGCTATATTGGACAGACGGGACGTAACATTAGCATAAGACTAAAATAACACTAAATAAATATTGAATACTCTCAAACACAACTGTCGGCAGTTGCAGAACATGCTTGCCAACAAGGACACTCAATTGATTTTGCCCCCGGGGCAGACCACGTCTGACATGGACATGCATGATTGAGGCTGATCTTCGACACCACGGCCTTGGCTTACATTCAGCATTGCGGCTAGCGCAGGATAGGATTGCCTCGTGGTGGCTCATGGGGGCTGCTACGCCCTGAGGGGCATGCACATTATGATGATAAGGTCGTGTGGCTGAGGGAATGTGATTTTTTTTCACATAGAGGGACGAATATATGAGGGAGGTTCATTGTCTGGTTATTAATTTTGTTATTTATTAGTGTGTTTAGCTGTGTTATTTATGCTTGTGTATCACTACCAATTGTAGTATCACAGTTATCTGTGAATACCTACCTTGCTTTTACTAATGCTGTGCCTGCATCTTTGTGTGATGCAGGTGTATGAGGCTATGCCATGCTACAGCGACTGCGCTCTGTACACGTGGGTGTCGGACCCATGGGAGGTGTGCTCGGTCCCACTGAGCGGCGTGTGTGGGGAGGGAACTCAGACGCGTACAGTCAGGTACGTTTCCTTTGTATGTGTGAGACAAAGCCATGCTGAGTGGGCCAAGGGAGCCAAGTGGCCATTGATTGGATCACAAAGTTTTATTTTCTCACCTGTATCCTACCTATATTTGTGTAGAGGAGTAGTGGGAGAAAGTGAAGGCATCGGAAGAAAAGAGCTGGATGACGTCATAGGGTGACGGCATGTTACCCAGAGGGGAGGGGTACTTAAGGGGGACCCCGGGCCGAGGGGCAGGGTCGTTGTGGGGAGCCGAGGGAACGGAAGTCTCGAGGGAATGGAAGATATGCCGAACGGAAGACACGCCGCTCGGCACCGAGACCCTAGGCCGAGGAAATAGTAGGATTAGTGGGGAGCTTAGGTGAGGATAGGCCGAGGAGTTAAGCGGGTACCGGGACGGTCCACGGGAAGGACCAAGTGTAGAAGTGTCTACCTCTGGTGTGATCCTGTGATTCTGTACGTGAGTGTAGTAGTTAATAGACTGGCAATAGCCCTTACAGAAAATCTCGTCTCCGTGTGAGTTTAAACCACTACATTTGTGTAATGGTTAGTGATCTGGACTGGCAATCCAGAAGTTAACGGTTAAATTTCCAGGCGGGGCAGTTGAAACCATGAGTATTTCTTAAATCCTCCCACCTTTGTCAAACCAAGATGTGTGGCCAGCATGCAAGAGCAGGCCAAACTACTCACAAGAGAGCTCCCCCCTATAGTTACCTTTCAGAAATGACATCAAGTAATTGCAGGGCTGCACCTTTACCTCTTCAACCAATTAGTATAATGCCACTTTTTTCAAATTTTCTTGCTGTGGTTTTCACACCTGATGATGATTGCTTGTGTTTCATTCGAAACGTCGTGATAATTTTATTATTTTATATTTCCCTTCTACGTGACTTTACCGAAAGAACCAAAAATATGTATCCCTGCAGTCACGAAAGCTTTAAATAAATAAAAAATATTGTATAATGCTATTGTGCTATTGAAGTGATGCCATAAGATAAATAAACTTTTATTTTGGAATTACATGTCAGGGTATGGGCCAGGAAGACGACTCCACTGAACTACTTCTGAATAAGATTGGACAGCCTTGCTTATGAAATACTGGAAAACGCCCATATATCTCATTCCTGTTCTCTAAAGAGTGTAGGTCACAGGTCACTTGAACTGAGATGTTATATCTTATTCAACACTGAATATTCAAAGTGTAATGAGGGAGCACCATCCAGGGGATACCAGAAGGTAATGAGTACAGGCACGATGATGTCATTGGGATCCAATCCTAAGGGGGGATGTGATCGGGCCAGGGAGACATTCGGGAACCTTCGAGAAGGTTTCCTGAGCGGGTGTGGCCAGAGGCAGGGCTTAGCTCCGCCGAGGAGGATCGGTGTGGGAGCCTGGGTTCCGGACCACGGCGCTGCCCTTCTCCTCCTCGCTACGGGCCACATGGCGGATCTTCCCTCGAAGCTCACCCCCGCTTCCAGCGCGCCATCAGCCAGCGGTGAGGCCAGGAGAGTGGAGTGAGCCTCGCAGGAACGCGGAGAGAGGCGCCTCGTCCACGGGTTGGGAGACTGCAACCATGCTGTATCGTTGTGAATAAAGTACCCAACAATCATCATCTTGGAAATTCTTTATTACAAAAGTAAGCTCAAGCTACATTTGATCAAAGATCAAAGTAAAGTCAAAGTATATTCCGGTTGAATTGAGCAATGAGGTGATACTTACCTTTACCAGCAGCCCTGAAAAGGTATCGGCAGCTACACATTCCCATGGCAGGGGCCAATCTATTCATGGGACAGTAGTGAAGTGGGTAATCAGGGAGAGTGAGACTTACTGGAGGCAACACGTTTATTTATAACGGTAATAGACCCTAACACCAAGGGGTAACGGCCCTGCCACCCGAAACACTACAGAGGTATCTCCTCCGGACTGTCTTGCCCTCACACTGGTTAAGCTTCAACCCTACACTGGTTAAGCTTCAGCCCGACCCTAGCCAGGGGTTCGGGTTCTGCCCTGTGAGCTATCGCACCCTGACACCGGTTACTTGGCCCGATCCTAGCCAGGGGTTCGGGTCCGGTCCTCAAGCTCATCTCAGGGCGAGTTTTTAGGTCTTCAGTGGGCAGCTCCAGGTCTTCAAATGTTTAACCTCCCCTGGACCCGTTCAGGGGTTCGGTTTTTATATCCAGTCCTGGCTTTCCCCGCCCCTGGCCACGCCCACCTTCTAGATCCTTCGAGAAGGTCCTGGGCTGGTTTCAGTTTAGTTTTCAGTTTATTTTGGTATAGCCCTGTGAACCATTCGGCTCTTGAATCGGGTGCAACCACAACAAACAAAAAACAAGAATAAGAAAACATCTTAAAGTTACTATGTGACTGTGAAAACAGAAAAGCGATGAAAAAACAGCAAAATATTCCTGAAAAAAGCACTGTACACCAACGCTGTGTGCAAAAAATCCCAGTGGGATGCAAGTCAAACAACAACAACAACAACCACAAGAAAACTTAGATTAAGGCCATCAGTCTAACTCCATACTATAACAAAACAAACATGTCCAAACCAAAACACGTTTTCGAAAATCACCAAAAAATAAAGCCATAATTGCAACGTAACAGTGATCATAGGGACTGTGACCGAATTTTTACAATAAACTGCATAAATAACATGTAACACCAAATCCTAGAGCCATAGCTGGCTGCATGAGTTTCTCCACAACAACAGAAGCATCAGTCGGAGTATCAAATGTTTCAATGCACCTTTAAGATCAGCACGCTAAATCAAAATACAGATAATACTTTGCAGCGTCATCCGGAGCGAAACATTTTCTTTTCTTTTACGCCAATAAATAGCAGTGGCAGCTAGGGGTGTACAACTCCTCTAGAGCAGTTTTGAGAGAAGATCTCTTTGGTAGCAATTCAAGTTGCAGTTTATTGGCAATAGCATTCCAGACCCTGGGGGCATCAATAGCAAAGGCCCTTCCTCCAGTTTTTGTCTGGCAATAGGGAATGTGAAGCTGGTAAATGAGAGAAGACCTGAGGTCAAATTTGTTCTTTGAAACAGAGAGGAGATCCAGCAGGTAGTCTGCGGATTTTTTTTGTAAGTACACCGTGAATAAATAAGATCTGGTGCACAAGCCGTCGAACATTAAGAGATGTTAAGTTTGACCCAATGTAGAGATCACAGTGGTGAGTCCTATATGGGTAGTTCAATGTAAATCTTAAGGCCGAGTGATAGATGGAATCAAGCTTCTTCAGTACAGTACTTGGGGCTGATTTATACACGATGTCACAGTAGTCAAGTAGAGGCAATATGGTAGCTTTTATCAATTCTTAAAAGAACATTGGGGGGAAGCAGTGCTTGTGTCGATACAGAAAACCAATTTTTTTTGTCTTTTTACCAATATAATCAATGTGATCTTCAAAATTCAGTTTTGAATCCAGGATGACCCCAAGATACGTATCGATCTTGACTTGCTCTATTTGATAATTATTTAAGGAATGTAATTGGGGAAAAATAACTTCCTGCTTTAGTCCCCATTGAGAAGCATAGCACCTTGGTTTTGGAGGTATTCAGAACTAGTTTAAGAGCAACTACCTGATGTTGTAGTTTATTGAAATCACCCTGTAGCTTAGCAATCACATCATCCGGAGAGCAGCCAGCAGTAATCAGTATCGTGTCATCTGCAAAAAGATTTACCCTGGAATGATCCAGGTCAGTGTCCAAGTCATTGACATAAAGAGAGAACAAAAGGGGGCCGAGGATGGAACCCTGTGGAACCCCTTTTGTTATCTTAACACTGTTTGACCTCCAACCATCTGTGAATGCAGTTTGGGTGCGAGAAAAGAGGTAATTTTGTAACCATTTTACTGCGTTTTCGGAAAAACCAAGGCAACTTAGTTTACTAAGCAGGGTGTTGTGGTCTACTGTATCAAAAGCTTTGGACAGGTCTAGAAAAAGACAGGCACAGTACTGCTTATTATCAAGGCTACTGTAAATGTGATTCAGAGAGTCTAATGCAGCAGATGTGGTGCTGTATGAGATCCCCCAGCCTGGACCCGTTCAGGAATCCGTTTTTTCTTTCCAGTCCTGGCTTTCCCCACCCCTGGCCACGCCCATCTTCTATATCCTTCGAGAAGGTCCTTGGCTGGCCGTATGACATCCCCCAGCCCTCCTCTCAGGGGCCTGGTGTCTGCATCTCCGGCCACGGCCATGGCCCGGCCTGCTCCGGGCACTCTTCCGCATCCTGTTGACTGGGGGCTGGTATTGCTCTCAGGGAGGAGTGGTATCGCCCTGTAATGCCACTACATCACTCCCCCCCCTCGTAGCATCCAGCCATCCCGGCTCCCAACTCCCCTTCAAGTGAACATGTGGGTAACGAAAAAACATGTGTGCCTCAACAACGGAAATAACAAAGCACCCATTGAATAAATACCCCAGCCCACCTTTACAAAGATTACACTATATACAAATGTACACCCGAGCAATGAAAACACAACCGGAGCGGGGCAATTCAATAGCACCACACGCGCGAATGCACATGCCCCCACAATCCACAGTACCCACGTCGTGTGTCACTGCCCGTCGATGCAAGAAATGAGAAATAGCAACCAACGATTGAGACGAAGTGATTTGACAGTGTGGGGTACGTGCATGTGTGTGTGGGGGGGGTCATGAAAACCGGATAGTTTTTGAATGAGTTCTAGTGGCCGGGCCCCCGGAGATGGCAGGGGGAGATGGCAATTGTCCAGCAGGGGTAGGTCCCGCTAGGGCAGGGGTCGGGAACCTATGGCTCGCGAGCCAGATGTGGCTCTTTTGATGATTGCATATGGCTCGCAGATAAAACAAAATATTCTCACTTGTTTTAATCCATCCATCGATTTTTCACTGCGCATGTCCTGTTCAGGGCTGCAGGAGCAATTGTCCATTATTTTAATTGGATGATACTGGCCTACGTTTGCCGTTGCTGGGTAAAACAGGTAAACGCCCCCTTTTGAATCAGTCTGAGACTGCG